CTAAGGACTGCGTCTGAAGTGTTAGTACCATACCCCTATATGCTACTAGTCGCTATGCCTGCAAGGGCTCTACATTGAGCCTCAAGTTACAAATGCATGAGTAGCAGATACACGTAGAGGATAAGGCACCCTCACGGCTAAGACGCCTTTATTGTTAATTCCCGCGGATATATGCAATACTCTGACAGCGCTGGCTTTTGTTTCTAATCGTGCGGATCGGTGGTGCAACCCGGAAATTTAGTGGTTCCAGTAAACAGATGAAACAGCCATCTTGATGAATTCGTCGTTCAAGGAGCAAGCGAAATGCGACTTTGATAAGTAATACAACTTTTTGTTCTAACAATACTTTTTCACATTATAATATGGCATAGTCCGTTAAATAACAAATGCACTATGGTTAATTCGTGTGATTAGTAAGTGGATAAAATTTAGGTTGGTGAATTTTGTCTGCTGACATAATCTTCTAAAATTACTATTGCTGATAAAGATCGTGATAGCAGTTATAGAACTAATGGCAATTCGGGTGGAAGTATTACTAATTGTAGAAGTAGTAGTGTTGATAGTACTATTAGTGGAGGCGATGATAGGAATTTAAATCCTGGTATTTGTAGCAGCAGTACTGTTAACTTTAGAATTAGTAGTATTTATATTAATGGTAATAGTATTTCTCGTAGCAAGAGCAGTAATACTAAATGTAAAAGCGGTTATAGCCGTTTCGGCGGTAGTAATAGTAACCTTACTAATGATAGTAGGGAAGTGATGTTGATAGTAACACCATATTAATAGTAGCATTAGTATTAATGGTGACGGTAATAGTGCTATTAGTAAGCGTGGCAACCACTATGTGTGGTTGTAATTGCAAGTTTATAATCGACCCATACTGTTTATCTTTTTTACAAAAAAGGTCAGGCTCTCAGATTTTTAAGGCATACATCTAAAAAGTTTCATACTACAGAACTTTGCACTAACTTCACAAAAAAGAATTATCTGATAGCCTTGCGCACTTTAATTTTAATAACACAGCAGTCCTAAATGACCAATGCCAATTACTTTGGTCAGCACACCAGCCTGGCCTCTTTTTTGGATAAATTAACGAAGTCTTCACTGTGAGCACACTGCATGCGATGCCTATTTTCACACTCCTCCAGTAACAAATACAGGGTGGCTCACCCGAAGCAAATCCGTGATTTGCCTTCCCGATTCCCTTTTCGTCAAAGCACGGAGAACCATTCTCGCCGCGGTTATCAACCCACGGATCCCTAAAGGAGATCGATTGATGGTAGGCATGCATTTTCATTGTAGCCTGCTGCAGGTCGGAGGCAGTTGACGTGTTCTGGTGAAACAAGCCCCATGGCAGAGTCCAACCTTCGGCATTCTCGCGTTCCTCCACCGCATATTCCTCCTCCTCCGCCTCCGACTGTTGCTGCTGCTGCTGCTGCTGCTGCTGCTGCTGCTGCTGCTGCTGCTGC